AGGTCTGGAAGAGGTGACATCAGCAGTGCAGGAGATTCACACAGAGGTCAGGAACATCAGTCATTTCTTCAAAATTAGCTTTGAGAACAACAATGGCCTCATTAGAGACAGAAAAGTAGCTTAAGGTGGGACACGCAGCACAGTCACCATGGGTTTTGAAGTGAACTGAAGCAAGGGGTATCTTGTGGATGAAGCTGTACACCATGAATGCAGGAGGAGCAGGTGGTTACTATTCCCTTATATTGGCACTCCCGGGATTATCAAGTTTGCCTAAAATAAGGAGATTGAAACAATCCCAAACTTTGGTTTCTTTCACATTGCTTCTAGGCTTCTGAGAGCTTACGATGTACTTGAATCACACAAACAAGCTTTGTTGCATAATAGAAGGAAACAAACTTAGAAGCAAGAAAGATTGATTCTTATGTAAACCCTTGTTTCCTGGAGCTGAGCTTTCAAGCAAAACATCAAATACTAAAGTTGCATAGCAACCTCCCCACCCCCATTACAGGTGGGCCGGGTGGCCAGTCCCACCTTTCCTGTTTCTCCAGGCTGCACAAACACTGTGCTTGCACAGGTAGGATTTATGTGGGCAGGGTGAGCTTCCTAGCTGCGGACAACTTGTGTTTAAGAGAACAAGAGTTCTGCCCAAAACACCCTGAGGTGGAAACCTGTGATGTTCTGTGCTCATATTCTCCAGTACATTATGAAAATGAACAGCATGTTATGTCTTCTAAACTCACTCTTACACATCATCATATGATGATTAGATTATTCAGCTAAGTAGAAGGCATTTGAAGCAACATTATGCTCAGATAGTCAATTATTTATTGTTAATCACAAGCATTTGTGGAAGCACTACAGTACTATATCCACTAATCACAATGAACACTAAATTTTGTATCACTGGCTTTAAGTGAGAAATAACTGCAATCACCACTATGTTTTTTACAGGGCTTTGTCTGTGTATTTGCAACCAGAGTAGGCAAGCATACACTAGAAAACACCTGAGGCTAAATACTGGTATGCAAAAGCATAAAACCAATTACAAGTAAGTACGTTCTGCCCCACCTCATTTTGTTCTCCCTTTTATTTGTTGAGGATCTCCATGCTGCCTACTGGCAAGTTCCCTCTTTGATTTCCAATCACCCCTTGATGACTCTATTTTCCTTCCATATGCTCCTACTTTCTGCCCTTCTTATTAACTGCTAAAACCCTTACACCCAAAATGTGCGTGACTTTTTCCTCAAATAAGGTAAATTACTTTTAAAATAATTCATCTTTGCAAGCTGTGACTCGACAGCAGGACTCACTGAAAGAGTGGACATCACTCAGGGCGGTTTAGGTCTGGATTACAGGGGTTTGCCTGCCACCTCCCGGGTGAGCCAGAACACACGTGGACATGCTGGATGTCGTTAGGAGCATGTTAAAAATACTTGATTTACAAACACTCAAAAAAATTCAAGAACACTGCAATCAGTGAACTGCGCTGCTGTTTGTATACATTACCTCATCTCTCTCCCTCCAGCTGCAAGGCTTCATTTGGACTCCACTTTCATCCAAAATAGCATTTTTCAGCTGGTTTTCTTTTGTTGTTGTTGTTGCTATTGGCTTGGTGGGGGGGGTTTTTTTTTTTGTTTGTTTTGGGGGTTTTTTGGGGTTTTTTTTGTTTTGGTTTGGTTTTTGGTTTTTTGGGGTTTTTTTTTGTTTTGGTTCAAGGTGTTTTGTGTGTTGTTTTTTTAAACTTTGTTGTGTAATTTGAGGTTTTCTAGATTTCTACTCTTTTCCTGCCTAGAAATCTGGCCCGGGCAGAGCTGCTGGGTATCAGACTCTCTATGATTTTCAGAGCCTTGGACACGGCTGCAGCCTGGCAGCGGACAGGCAGGAATGCCAGAGGAATGGCTGCTGGACATGCAGGGCTGACTGTGCCATGCTGGGGAGCTGATCTGCCCCCAGACAACCCAAAGCATTTGGGACACGTTAGACCAACTGTATGTACACTGTAAAGGGTACATCCATAAATATCTGACCACAAATCTCAAGGGGAAAAAGCAGTGCAACCCTGCCCCTGAGGATGCCCAGTTGTTGGCTTAAACAATTTACTGCACTATGTTCACTGCTTAGGGTTTCATCCTTAAAATCCAACTTTGACCAGAGAGAGAGAGATGCACACAAATCCAGCTTCAGATTTCATTTCATTGTGGTAAATTTTCCAAAGAATCCACAATTCATAAATAAACATTGATGAATACACAATGATCCACAACAGCAAGAAGTGCTATGGAAAGGCAACAACCACTTGCACTGGGAAAGAATTCTGCATTGAAAACAGAAGAGGATTTAGTTGACATGATGATTATTTATACTTTTCTTAGAAAACTGAAAAAGCTGCTTACAAAAAATAAATGAGGCAATACTGTAATAAACAGCATTAGGTGATAGGCAATTCAAGCAAATTAATTGATGTTGAGGAGGCTGGAATTCAACCCCAAATTTTAACATCTTATTACACTATTAAAATATATTACTGTAACTATGTAATCTGCTGTAATTATTTTTTACTGATCGCCCTAGCTGTTCACTGGGCCATTCAGCTTTGTTTTCTGCTTATACACTAAATTTCTAAACTCTTTTCAATCCTGTTGCTGCCTTTTCCTGCTCACCACCCAAATGCTTCCTTCCCTCTTGACTGCAAACCCCAGGAGTACCAGTGCAGAGCCCAAGAAAACAAACCCAGCAAAGCCTGTTTGGGTTTTGCCTCCTCCCTCAAGTGTGACACTGGTGCACCTGATGAGTGAGACACAGCTCACTGGAGGTCAAACGGGGAGCAACACCAGTCTGGCAGAAAGGATGAGTTTCATTCTTAATGATGACCTATGAGAATGTCCATTTAGGCTGCTTTCTCCTTTTTAGTTCACAGAATCCCCACAGTTTTCAATTTAGAAATACCAAAGGGGTGATTATGGATTCTGTAGGGCACCCAGGTATGGTGGTGTTGGAGGGTGCCAGGACGAGTGAAGAGAGGAGAATCTCGACTCCATGTTTCAGAAGGCTGGTTTATTATATTATGATATTATATTATATTAAAATGCTACACTAAAACTATACTAAAAAGAATAGAGAGAAAGGATCCATCAGAGAGCTGGAAAGGAATGGAATGAATAACAAAATCTTTTGACGCTCAGAGTCCAACACAGCTACATCTTTGATTGGTCATTAATTAGAAACAACTCACATGCACCAGTGAAAGATGCACCTGTTGGTAAACAATGTCCAGACCACATTCCTCAGCCATCAGATTATTGTTTACATTTATTTTCCGAGGCTTCTCAGCCAGAATGGGAGAAGAGTCCTAGCAAAGGATTTTCATAAAATGTCACAGCGACACCCAGGCACTGCAGAAGTCTCAGCTGAGCAAACCCCAGGCCCCGCCATGGCCTGGCCAAGAGCAGGAGGGGGTCTCAGTTCTCAGGTCCTCCCCTTCACCCTGTGTCTGAAATCCACCTCAGAGGAGGGCAGACAGCCCACAGCCTCCAACAAGTGTGGTGACACTGGTGACACAATCTTCAGCATCCTCTGCACTCTGCTGAGACTCGGCCCTGACACAGAAATTAATAGGGCAGCTCAAATCTGAGGGCTTCAACACTGAGCAGACACAATCAACATAATTACATCTGTGATTGAATCCTGCTGAGAATGAGGTTGCAAACAACATTTGTAGTGGTTGTAGTTGCACAAACCCCGTGATTTCATAGCTAGCATTAAAAATAAGCTGCTAAAATGCCTTGGGAGCCAGGCATGTCAGGTCTGTTTGACAACACTGCCCCAGCTCCCTGAGAGCAGCTTCCTTTCGAATTTGTTTTGCTTACAGTTCACCAAGATCCTGGCCTGGAAGCCTTTAGGGTTCAACATCCCTTTAGGTTCTCATTTTGTTCCAGTTCCAAGCCCCCCTGACCTGTAGGTCCAGCAGCCTTTACCTCCTGAGCAGCCTCAATCTTTGGTTTCTGCCCCATCCCCTCCCAGAGCAGCACAGCCCACAGGGTTCCCTTGTTAAATCCATCGAGTTCCACATCGGTGTGAAAAATGTGTATTTTATGATTGGCTTTTCACAAGTATTAAAATGAATATTGTATGTGTTATGTTAGAAAGTTATGCTATATTAATTTTCTTAAGTAGTGTACTAAATATAGTTTTAGGTTATAACATAATGTTAAAATAGAAACTATGCAAGATATTTGTTTAAGAAAGGACTCACACCAGATAGCAGCCACAGGACACCTGAATCTTTCAGAGAAAGGGAATTTATTGCTCCCTTATCAGCAGAAAACTAACTTCTTCCCACCTCGCTCAGACTGGAAGACGGCATGAGGATTCAGAGGAAGAAGCTGACAGTGACCAGACAGAATCCTGCATTTGAATGGCATTTATGCATCATGTGTGAGATGTGTGAATATGCAACAGGCGATTGTTTTAAAGGGTTAATCCTCTGTTAACGGGGGTCCTTTGCCCAGACAAAGGTACTCGGACGTCCGTATCTCTTTGTCTTTATTGTCTCATATTGTCCTAATCTCAACTGTTCAAATTTTATTACTCTAGTTATGTCACTATTTTTTTTATAACAATTTTATTACTATTAAACGTTTAAAATTTCAAAACCAAGTGGCCGGCGTTTTTCACGTCGGGGAGTGAGCTGGGCAATCAGCAGAGCACAGCAGGCACCAGCAGCGCCCTCAAACCCCACAAACCACCCGGGGCCGAGGCACAGCCCGTGATCCCGGCAGCCCTGGCATTCCCAACAACAGGAAACATGAGAAACTGAGAGCGCAGAGCCGGCGCTCTGCAGCCCTGCAATAACACAAACATTGTCCGCAGAGTCGGCACTCTGCAGCCCTGCAATAACACAAACATTGTCCGCTCAGAGGTTTCACCAGCAATGCCTCGAGCAATTACTTTGAAGGAATTAGTCCCTGTACAGGAAGTGGGAAAAACATTGCAAGAACGACTTGGGGTTTTGAATAGGAGTTGCATTTATTTCTCAAATATTTTCAACACATTGGGCTCCTGCCACAAAGTCCCTGTTCTCCAAGGCCAGGACAGCTTGTCAGCCGAGACACGTTTGTGTTTCACTTCTGAAGAACCTGAATTCTGAGCAGTTACTGCACAGCTAGTCAAGCAGCTCTCCACTCTCTGCTCCCTCTCCTTTCCCAGCTGAAGCTTCAGAAGGCTGCAGATCGTGTTTGCCTTTAAATGTCCCACTGCCACACATTCCTGTGGGTTAAGACAGCGACTTCTGCAAGATGAGGCAGAAAGGAAACCCCAGCGCTAACACCGAGTTACTTCGCGTGTTTCTGTATTACACAATTTTAACAACACTTACACTGCTGCTGTGAGGGCAGTTAAAACACCTTGGTACGCGCCAGCTGAAAAAATCCTCCCAGATCTTTTTTTTTTTTTTTTTTTCATATAGCAGTTTCCCTGCAGTGGCCGATTCAAACCCCCTTTCTCTGGCTGGTGGGTACTTTGTAAGCAAAATTAAGCAGCTTTAGGGGGAGCTGCCTGCTGTGCCTCGATTAGCGAGAGCTCCCGTGAGGGGGAAGGGGCGGCTCTGCGGCTGGCAGCCAAGGCAAAGCGCCGCTGGAAGCCAGCGACCTCCCCCGGCTCCCTGCGTGCCTCGGGCGGGCGCCATGGGCGGCCACAGCGGCTCCCGGCCAGCGGGCCGGGCAGCGCGGCTCCGTGTGGGGCGGGAGCGGCTCCGGGGAGCCAGCTCTGCCCCGACGACGCGGAAAGGGAAGGAAGGGACAGGGAAAGGGCAGGAAAAGCGAGCGGGAAGAGGAAGAGGAGCGTGAGGAGGAAGCGCCCCCTCAGCGCGCCCTCCCGCCCTCAGCGCGCCGCCCCGCCCCTTCCGGCCGCCCCCGCGCGCCGCGATGACGCAGTTCCTCCCGCCAGCCCCGCTCCCCCGCCCCGGGCCGGAGGTGCCGCCGCCATTTTGCCGCTCTCTCGCTGCCGCTGCCCGGGCGCGGCGGCTGCGGCCGGAGGAGCCTCCGTAGGGAGCTTTAACCCGCTCGGGGCCCCGCGCCCCGGCCCGGCGTGAGCGCGCCATGTCCGGAGAGGGAACCGCCGGCGATCAGGTGAGCGGGGGCCGGGTGGGCGCAGGCCGCGCCCGGAGGGAGCGGAGCGGGGCCCCGAGCCCGGCCCGTCGGAAGGAGCCCCGTGGGCAGCGGGGCCGGGCCGTGACGCGGCCGGAGCTGCGGAGCTCAGCCCGCCTGAGCTCGGGGCCGGGCGGACAGTGGGCTGAGGGAGCTGCAGCCCGCACGGGCTGTTTGCAGCGGCAGCGGGCGGGCTTATGTAAAGCGAGCGTTGGCTGGGCTCCGTGCTTAGTGCAGAGGGCCTCTCTTAACGCCACCGTGTGCCTCCGGAATGAGGCATTGCTAAAAGTCCTTAAGCTAGAAACGATAAATACATACCCCTTTTGTTTGATGAAGGGTCTTCTTTGTGGTGCAGCGCCCGTTCCGTTTGGTAGGAGCTAAACTAAAGCCCAAGAAGCGCCACCTCAGCAGGAGGAAGAGCCTCTTTATGCTCAGGGCGGCAGGGCGCTGGCACGGCTGCCCGGCAGGGCGCCGAGTTTCCCTCTCTGGGCACATCCAAACCCAGCTGGACGCATTCCTGTGTCACCTGCTGCAGCCGCTGACCTTGCCTGGGCAGGAGGGCTGGAGCAGGGCATCTCCTGAGCTCCCTTCCACACCTAATGCTGCTGGGGTTCTGTGAGATAACTGCAGTTTCAGCGGAGTTTGGCTTGCTTGTTTGTGTTTTTTGTGGGGTTTTTTTTGTGGGTTTTTTTTTAAATTATACTAAAGTCTGTATTTACCCTAATCTCTTTAATTTTTAGGGAGGTACCACCACAGTGTTATATACATATATATATATATATACACCACCTTTTAAAATTTGGTATTACTGTGAATGATTCCAGCTTGCTGGCAGAGTTTCTCCAAAATGGCTCTGTTTTAGTGGTTGGGATTCTGTTTAAAATCGGTGGTATTTGGAGGGGTGGGGATGAAAAGTTGAGGGAGGAGTTATTGCCAGCAGCCACGTGTCTTAGTGGCCAGTGTAGCCTTTAGAAATATTTAAAATTAAGCCTTCGTGCTCCTTGAAGTGCCTTTTTGTTAGCATAGTGTTAGTTTCTTGCAGAACAGGTGGATTTCTGTGTGTCTGGGCCTGTGCCCCTAAAGGGTGGTGTGTAAGTTTTGTAAGATCACTGTTTGGGTGGATGGGGTGGGCGTAGGAAATGTGCTCAGAGTGTGAAATACTCAGGTTCTGCCTCCCTAGGACAATATCCCAACATTCCCTGTGTGCTCCCAGTTGATCAGGCTGGTCAGTGTGCTTGGAGAGTGTTTAGCATTCTGCAGAATGGTTCCCTCCGTCGGGAGAGGGAGGGCTGCAGAGGAGTGAGAAATGCCACAGCAAAATGTCATGAATGCTGCTGTGTGGCACGGTCCAGATTTCATCTCCCCACTCCAGAGTGTTTTCAAGAACACATCCATGTTTCATGCCTTAATTAAGCTGTTTGTTGAAAGGGCATGTGTGTTTCTGAAGCTTGTAAAGTGTTACTATTTAACTTCAACCCTGCTGACTTCAGGCTTTATTTTCTTTTGCAAGGGAGACTTTGATAAGCAAAAGGTTGGGTTACTGTCTGTGTACTGCATAAAAGTGTCAGGTGTAATGCTGCTGTGCCATATCTCAGAGGGTTTAGCCTTCCCAAACCTGGAAATTGTTATTTGCAGCCTGTGTAAAGTTATTTAGTCCAACCTGTGACTTGGCCTTTGGACCATACTAAGGTTTCGTTTTTTGCCCATTATTATTTCTGTGTTCATGTTGGGTGTGCTTCAGATTAAAAAAGCAGCTCTTACAGGTTGGGTTAATTTTTATATTTTTATTTATACTGCTCCATCCTGATGAAGGCTTCTGGATTCTCCTTTCCTACAAGTCTAATTTTGTTGTGGTCGATTACCTGCCATCCATTAGGTTTCCTTCACTTTCAATAACAGCTTTTTTCTCGGCTGGCAGACTTGTGTTTCTGGGTCTGACTGTTGCCACAGGCTGTATCCAGATCCAGTGTCTTTAGCAACACTGCCAGGGAGTTTTCAGCACAGAGCTCCCACCCAGTCCTGCAGGGAGCCTGAAATGGCTTGAGGGACCCAAATGCCTTGTCCCTGGAGGGAGGAGCAGCAGAGCCTGGTGGCTGGGGCACCCACACTGCAGCTGCTCTAGACCAGCCTGGTGTGGCTGCAAGGCCTCGAGCTCAGCATGCCCAGGGCTCTGAAGGTGCCTTGCTGTAGGAACCGAGGCTGGGCAGGGTGGGATTGCAGCTGCCTCCCCTGTTTGAGGTTTCATCTGCTGCTCCCAGCCCCGAGGTCTGGGTGCTGTGCAGGGATCAGTTAATTTGTGCTCTGCATGAGATGCAGAAATGTGAGAGTGCCTTTGTCAAGGCAGAGCTCTTAGCTGTGGCCCCCTCTCAGGCAGGGGGTTCTGCGTGTTGATTCCCAGCTCCCAGCTTTTGGAAGGCACTGCCAAAAAGCAGCCAGGTGAATAATAAATTGCCTTGCTGTCTGCAGCAAGTGCAGAGCTGTGGTGCTGTAGGAAGGACCAGCAGAGTGGAATGCTGACTGTAGGAAGAGAGGGAGGGAAAAGGGAATGTGAGGTTTGAGACACGGGTGGGCTTTGGGAGGCTTTATTGTACCAGATGCAGTGCAGTTGAAACGTGGCTTTACCACCTTTAGGCCAAGCTTAGCTCCAGGAGTTTTTGGGCTGCTTTACTGCGTGGATCCGGAGTCTGATCGGTGTTATGTAGGTTGTCTCCTCTTTATGTTATTGTAGAACAGACAGAGCAAGAAGACAAGGAAATACAATGCAGCCACAACTCTTGGAGTATATTTTAAATTCTTGCTCTGTGTTAGCTGTGCTGTGCCCAAATTAGTCCTGAAGAACCAGTTGAATCATTTGAGGACTTAAAATCCCTCAGGCCCCTGCCAGACTCCTGGCGAGGCCTCCATGATGTTTAACAAACCAGAATTTCCAGGGGCACTTTCTGGAATACCAAACACTCAGCTCTGTCCGTGTCATAGAAATGCACTTTTGTATGCTGAAGGGCTGCTGCATCTGCCACTGTTGGCCAGAAAATTCCATGACAGGCTCTTCCCAGCCTGGTGTGTCAGGGTTACAAAGAGCCCATGCTTGCACCTGTGGATGTCTTGACATTTTTATGTACACATCTAGTTTCATTTCAGTCATGGTGCTTGTTTCTTGTGCTAAATTCCCCACTTTTTTCCCCCTCTTTATAAATACTTGCCAGGCATCAGCTTCATCTGAAGATCACATAATATTTGCTTTGCCCCAGCATTAGTGCCTTCCAACCTTTCAAGGTTAGAACATGCATTTCACACTCCAGTTAGTGTTTCAAAGACACATCCTCCAGTCTGAGATGCATTTTTTATGTTACATGAATATGGATCTGGTGTGAGACTAAGCTGTGGAAAAAAAGATGTCTGTATTGTCTCTGTGACTATAGAAAATACCTCAGAAACAGTTTGTTCTGGTTTCTTGAGGTGCTTTTGTCCCTTTTGGTTCCTTCCTCCCTTTGTCTTATGTCTGTTTGATGTGGTACATCATGAAAGTTTCTGCATGCTAAAGACAATAGTAAGTGCTGTAGTTAACTTCAATATAATATTTTAAAAATAGATGTCACTGAATGCTGTGCTGAAAGAAGACTTTTCTTGCAGGATTGTGTGGGTTTAACATCACAGGAGGACCCATTTTAGAGAAACCTCTTTAAGAGTGGACAGAATAAGTACAAGTATTGGTGAAGGAAAGCTCCTGAGTTTGTAATGCAGTGATTTAATGACAATTTTTACACAGTTGTAAATAAATTATAATTCAGGTGTATTTCCAGAGTCAGTAAATTCCAGGTATAGTAAGAAGTTTAAGTGAGAAATGTGTCAGTCCAACATTTGGGAAATAGTCCTATGAGGAAAGAAGGATAATCATTCCTAATCTAAAACTTTCAGTTTATCTGGAGTTTCAAACCCAGATTATGTAAGGATGGGGCAGTACTTTAAAAGTACCTTTTTTTGGTCAAGATGAATATACTGGGTGTCATGGTTTGAGGCTGGCACAATGCCAGTGCCCCCATGAAAATACACTCTCCCTAGTGGCTGCCTAGGATTCTTCTCAGCTCTTTGGACATCTCTCACATGCACCAACTTTTCTCACACTTGCCCATTTCCTCCTGCTTCACCTCTCTCCCCTCATTCAGATTCAGGGGGATCAGTATTTGTAAGGTTCCCACTATTCAAAAAAGGGGTTAAAATCTTCACCTCTCTCTGCCCAGAACTCCCACCGAGGCCGGTTCCAGTGCTGCATCCCCCACTCCTGGCCGGCCGTGCTGCAGTTCCCAGGCAGCACAGGCACTGGTGCTCTCTCTCTCTCTCCCCCTCTCCCCGGGGGTGGGGGGGCCCCGATTCCTCTCAGGGCTCCTCTACCCTTCCATCCTGCAGATCCTTCACCCCCTCCTCTGCCCGAGGCTCTGGCCCACCTCACCGGCCCCATGGCTTCCCCGGGCAGGGGAGCTCTGAGCTCCTTCACTGCCCGGGACCGAGAGAGAGATCTCCTGGGAGTTGTCTGATTTTAACTCCCTGTGTTCTCAAAGGCAGTCCATACCTTCAGTGGCCAAACCAGGTGCCAATATTCAAATCCAAGCACTGATTGGTTTGACCACAACCTCAGAAAAAACTCACTTCTTAACCTACAACACGGGGCTATGTCTGCTCCAGTCTTAAAGGACGCAACTTTTCCAAGGCTGCTCACAGTTGAAGTGGCTTAGAGTAGAATAGAAGAAGTCAGGGCATTAAGAACATTTAAGAAAGTGCAAGTTTTGATAAGCTGAAACTACAGTTTCCCCAGTGAAGGGATGTGTTACTGAGGAAAGGGTTTTAAAACTTCTTGTTCTCTGCACATGCAGCTTTAAATAAACTTTAAGGGAGAAAAGCCAGCCTGTAAATTTAGCAAACTGGACAACTAACAATGCTTGTTAAGTTGCATGTTAATATACTTGAAATTTCATTCACCGGGTGTGTTGCAGGCCAGGCTGTGCTAAAGTGTGCAATATCCAGCCAAAACCACCAAACTGGCTTCTGTCTTAATGGCCAGAAACCTCTTTTGGATATCCAAGCAATTTGACTAAAGTAGCTGTTAAAATTCCTGCCTTTTTGTGTACAACTGCTCCTCCTGTGATGTTAAACCCACACAATCCTGCAAGAAAAATCTTCTTTGGTGTGTAGAAGTTCTTATTTCATAATTAGTGGTAGTTTTTAAAGCATCTTGAACTGGCCCCTTCATGGATGTAATGGGTGTTGTAAACACATTTCCTTTCCACTGCAGAGAATCCTGTTGTGGAAACGGGAGGATACCTTAACCAATTGGATCTATATAGCTTTGCAAATAATTTAAAGGTATGTAGGGATTTTCTTAGGCACTTTGGCATCATGAAGATTCATTCAAGAGGTCTGAGGAAGCTGTTGATTTTTAGGAATATGGTATAAACCAAGAGTATTCCTTTGCAGGTGATTGATAAATAAGCAAATACTAAAAGTGAACTTGATTTCCTCTGGTTTTATTCCCTCAGACATTCTTGAAGAATTCAGAATTGGATTTGTTCAGTTGATGTATTTTGCAGGAAGGAGCTGCTAGATCCCTTCCTAGAAAATGTTAGTTTAGATCTCTTGAGGTTTTGGAAAGATCTTTTTATACTTCTGGTATCTGTGAAACTTCAATTCTGTTGCTATTTGTCAGTGTATAAATAATAAAAGGGTAGTTGTGAACTGGACTAGGTGGTAATAATCTGTAGAAAACCCTAAGTGCTAAAATAATTCCATGACCTTCAAAGAGTTGTTCATGGGATAGGATCCTGATGATGTAGAGATCTACTGTACAAAGTTAATAAAAGCAGGGGGAAAAGGTGGTTTTACAGTCTGTGTGCAATGTTTTTTTTCAGGTAGTGAAGAAAAATTAAAAGCCAGTATCTGATTAGGTTTAGTTTGATGGTATTTAGGCTGGTCTAAGTTGGGGCTGCTAGAGTCCTGAATGATTTTGCATCCTTTTTGTTGCATCTGATCCTGAAGGGGGTTGAACCATTAGAAAGTTAATCCCTTTTCCAATAGGATTATTTTTCTGCTGCTTTAACTCCCTGAAGTGTCTTGCTACAGGATGAGATTACCTGGAAATGCATATCTAGGGGCAGGATAATGGCAGTGAACACCCAAGAATTACATGGTCACAGTTTTGGATATTGGCTGTTGTGCAAGCACTACAATGAGAAATACATAGTCAGAAGCTGTGTGCCCTTGAACTGTGATAGCAGCAGCTGTGAGCACAAATTGCAGTTAACATAAAGTTCTCAAAAGCAGGATCACATCTTCCTGGCTGTGGTTGAGTTAGGTTAGGAGTCAGGCTCGTGGTTCCACTTTGCTGTGTGCTTGCTGTAGGTGTTAGTCCTCACAATGGGTGTTTGTTCACGCACCCAGTTCTGGCAAAATGGTCCAGAAAATCCTGAGTGTTGATTCCTCCAGGATATTAGGAGTGATTATTTGTGAAGATGCAGTGAGGTCTTACTTGTGCCCAGCTAGAACCAGGACATGGATGTGCCTGCAGTGCAGTGTGTCCCTGAGATGTGGGTGGCTTTGATAGTGCTGGAGAGGGACAGGAGAAGGAGTTCTCACTGGCTCTGAGAAGTTGAGTGTTTTCTTCTGTGTGACCTAAGGTCACAAGCAGGTCCAGGCAGTCTAGTTCAAAACTGATCATCTGTAGGGTGCCTGTAATTTGTCTTGTATAACTGAAGGGAGAACTTTATCTGCTGCTGCTGAACAATGATTTGCCAACTTAGAAAATCAGTCCTTTTTGTGTTCCAGTAAAATAATTGTGTTTCTTGCACAGTTTGATTCATGTATCAAATACACAAAAATTATTTAGGATTGCTGTGGTTGTGCATCTTATCCCCATCGTTTTTTTCCTGAGCCATTTCTGCCTTTCTGAGTCTGAATTTATGACCCTGTAGCTTTATAGGTGAATCAAATTCCTGGAAGTCTTCACTCAGCTGGCGCTGCAGTGAAATGCTTATTTTTGTGTCACCTGGAAAGATTAGAGGAAATACAATTTAACTACTTCTGTAATAGTTGAAAGGTGCTTCAGTGGCCCATGCTACTTTATCTTGTTTAAAACTCAGTATTCCAGGGCAGGACCTTGTGCTTTTGTAGGGTGAGATACATTTTGTTGTAGCAGACATTGATGGTACATGTGCCCTTCTGTCTAAATGTATCCAGAATAATTTGTTTGAGACAAGTAAATTTCTCTGGGTTGGTTGTAGTCAGGAGCAGCGCTTCCCACCGATGTTGATGTATTTGAATTGGTGCTTTATTGAATAAGCAACATTTCAGCTTTGGGCCACCTGTAGGGGTAGCTTACAGAAACAGTTTTAAACTTCAGAAACTTCAGCTTCAGTGCTGTTTCTGGAAGCTCAGTAATGTTTATGCATGTCATTTGGGAAGAAATAAAACCTCTAGTTCATTTTATACTGTTCTACATCTTAAGCAAGTTGAACTACTACAGAATCAAAATTTTGATGGACTTAAAGATGTAAAACTATTCATATGGCAATTTATAAATTTGCTACTTTAGAGCTGTTAGCTTTGAGCTACTTTGATTTTTAAACCAAATTAATTTTGTAATAGTTTAATGTGGGACTTGATATTTGCCTTCCAAGCTACACTGCTTTGCATTAATTAGTGTTTTGAATTGCTTGAAAAGTGAATCAAAAGGAGTAATGGTCTTTAAACACCTATAAAGCCCAGACCACTGATTTTTTTCTTTTCCCTTTATTATATATCTGCCACTACATGTCCAATTAACAATTCTGCAATATTTTTGATCCTTTTCCCATGTTATGAGTCGTTTTATTAAATGATATATTTAATGGGATATGCTTTGAATTTTATCCTGCTAATAGGACTGACACAAAAACTGCTAATGCTGAAAAATATTCAGAGCTAGTGTAGTTACCTTCTGCTTCCCATTCTAAAGAGTGGTGGCACCTTTGAGAGAGGAGTGTTGGGTCTCTCGGTGCTGTGTCTTTTCCAGCTTCAGAAGGATGCATTGTCCTGCTGGGGCAGGGAGCTTGGACCAGGTGACCACTGTAATCCCCTCCAGCCTGTCCCATGCTGGCATTCTGGGACCTAGACCCAATGTTAAGAATTAAAACTAATTCCTTGAAATCATCTTTTAGCAAGTGATGGAGTTTGGGGGCTTTTTTAGATTTTTCTGCAACTTTTAGGAATTTTTTTTACAGTCACACTGCACTACACATTAGGGATGAATATTCTAACAGTAATTATGAAGTGAAATTGTAAAATGTCACCAGCGAGGTCTTATAGTAGCAATTTAAGGGTTACTATTGTTCCATCTCACAAAGGCAAGAATTTAGTTGGTGTGGTTTTTGTGTTGCTGTTACCTGCCTAAAATTGAGCCAGGTTTTCAAAGTTAGTGAATAAGTGGTTTGGAGTAATAGTCAGAACAATATTTCAGGCTTAATACATAAACTTCAGTTTATTTAGGGTTGTAACAAGCATGTATTTTAAGGGTGTCTATATGTGATCTTCACACTGTAATTTTTTATTCTACTTTGTGTTAACAATGTTAGATCTAGGAAAAAAACCCTGAAAATCATAAAGCAAGTTATTTCCCAAAGAATTTGAAAGTAACTATGTTAACAAGTTTGCATTCCATTTGATAAAGCTTTTAGCCTCAAAAAAAGCTTTTAAATTTCAATAGGAATGTCTGAGTGTTTAAAAAAAAATCAAGGTGGTTTTAGTGCCAAAGCTACAGGAAGGCATCTGTAGGACTGAGAGATCAGAAAGTGAACAAAGAAACTGTGTTTGGATAGAGTGATTTTCTGCTAAACCATCCTCTCCTGGTTTTTTGTTAAACTCGTGATACCAAATACCTGCTGTTCTCCAAGTCCACAATGACTCCTGGATAAACTGGATTTGTTTGCTGAACTCTGTAATAGCAATACTGGGCTGAATTTACTTTTGCATCTTGA